CTTATTATCTTTGCACAATTGATTTCCTTCTCAAAGTTGATTATCTGTTGCTAGTTTGATTGTAAACAATAGGCCGCCTTAGTAACATACCTTACTAAATGTTCAGAATATTTTAGAAGATGGAGATAGTTGAGTCCATTCTGAACCTTCCCCTGCAAGATCCACCTGGTGAAGACTTCTCAGCATCTGATTTGAGTTGGACCAAGGTCGGAAATGTAGAACGTTATGATGATGTTGCCCTTATTCTTTATGATCGAGTTGATGCATTTATCATTGGAGAGTGTTGTAACGTGGAATTCCCAACAAGGTTTCACATTGAGAGGGGAAGGAAAAGAAGCAGAGGCAGCTTAAAGGAGTATAAGCATGATGACTATTTGGAGTACAGGCTGTAAGTGCTTTAACAATTTCAGGATATGTCATTTGCTATCTTCTACTCTTTTTTTTTCTTTTTTTTTTTCTTTCTGAAATGAATAGTGTGGGGGGTCATGCTGACCTCTTTCTTTGTTCTACTAGTTTTAACAGTAAACTATGTGTTCATGAGAACATTTTGTTATTTGATCATTTGGTGGATTAATTTAGGTATGAACTTTCTGAACTAATGGACCTCAAGATGGAGAGTTCTTTGTAAATATTTGACTCGTGGAGGAGAGCACAGGGAGAATCAAGGACGTAGACTTTCCTTGTTTTTGGACAAAACAAAAAATGAACTTAAATGGCCAACTATGAGGATTTTGCTTAATTTAAACGCGATTCATGATGGAGGATGAAGCAATGTTCAGTCTTTCTAAGTAATTTTTGAGTGTATTAGTAAATTTAAGCTTCTTAAGTTTACTTTATATAACAAAGTTTTATGTCCAATTTATTTTGGTAAATTCTCAATTTCTTGTAATTAGTTTAAAGGTCATATCATAATCCTGTATCAGTCATTCATGTATTTAGACATCGTTGGGGCTGAAGCTTAATAACCTTGTATATGTCTAATCAAAGATAGCTCAAAAAGCTGTCAATTTTTTTGTGGATGTAAGGTGTGATTAACCTTTACCAAGGGTAAAGCGTTCTCTCTTATTCCTCCACTCATCTTTCTTCTCGCCTCCACCTCCACATCTAGAGGAAACTGGATTAAATTTCTCCATGTGATGATCTTAGGCCTTGGATATAGACTCCCTGAGGTTTACAGGGATTCTAGATGATATGATCTCATCCTTGAGGTTTCTTGATTAAAAAAATAAGAAAAATATTTTCTACTCTGAAGGCCTCAGTAAATTGCAATTTCGTGACTTCTATGGAGCTAAGAAAGGAGCTGCATTAGCTCAATTTAGCATCCCATCACTTGCTTAACCAGTTTGTTTTTAACTGTATAAAATGGAAATAGGTAATGACTGGAAAGGCTTCTGCAATTTACTCAGAATCCTAAATTTCTCCCAACCTTTTCCAGACCTTTGATATCGCTATTTTTTTCATCTTTTTTAGCAGATTTGAGCTCTACTTTTTTCCCCGTTTTTATAAGGGAGCTCTTCAGTTCTTCTACAACCTCAAGTATGGGTCGCTTCTCTTTCTTTACTTGTTTATGGCTTCCTGAGCATTACTACCATTATGGTAAGGAAGAGAATTAATTAAGAGTCCTCGGTCGCCACTATATTCCCTGGAATACTTTTGGTCGGATATGTTACCAACACTTGACTTCTAAAGTCGAGCTAGATTTGATCAAAGTCTTCTTAGGACTAAATTTTGGTGGCAAAGAACATAGTACATAACATGTACATAAGAAGGTTTCTAACTTTCAAGTAACACATGAAAATAAAAGTATATCGGACATCCTTTTTAGTGAAATCCAATTTGACTTTTTATGGACAAAAATCATGGGACTAAGGGAGTAACAACTAGTTGTAGCTGTTTGAAAAGTCATGAACTTTAGATAATAGTAAGGGTCGACTCTTATTACATACTATTGCAGAATAGAGCCTAGAGGGCGTCTTTGATAACTTTTGGTACAATATGAATCAGTGTTGTTAAAGGCTCCGTTAAAGCACAAGTTAAGCCCTGAAGCTCGGTGAATGAAGGTTGTGCACTTTGCCTCGCTTAATTAGCGCTTTAGTGTAGACGTCAAGGTGCTAAGGCATGTGCACCTTTACCGATAGATTCTGTCTTTAAG